ATCCGCCCGCCTTGGCCTCCAAAGTGTTTGGATTATAGGCGTGGGCCACCAGGCCCGGCCTCAAAATGTTCTTAATTCCTAAAGTTGACGGGCATTCCCAAAACAGAAAGAGAACCTTTCCAAACTAAAGACTTCCTTTTTAACTCTTTAAGCATTTTGGTTAAAGTTTTCTAAAAAGTACTTAACAAGCTGTGGACCAGCCATTGAGGGTGATAGGCACAGCCACATTATACAGCATGGTTTAACAGTTAAGGGCAGGTTAAAGGGGAAAGAACTCACTAAGATGCACAAGGAAACTGAAGGGGAGGACAACTTCTTCCCAAGCAGTAGAGATACGCACATACAAAAAGCTGCCAGAGCTGCCACCTTACCTCATCCCTGAAGCAGTGGAATCCCCACTTGCAAACCCTAGGGTCACTGCCCCCAACTGTCAAGTCATCAAACTATATTTCTATGGAAACCATAAACTTTAAAGGAAAACAAGCTTGGAATTGCTACCAAATACACAGATAGAAGAAGGCCACTTTGCTGTATCAATTTCAGGACAACTAAGAAAACCTACTTTTGTATGTTCAGACATGTGTTTGTCATACTTTTCTTGATTTTTAAAACCACGATCACAAGTATCACAAAAAAAGTGAAAAACTGGTTCCTTCCTTTTCTGCAAACAAAAACAGAGAGAAATTAGGCTTTGGTGAAAAATCTCAAATCAGTAAAAACACAACTATCATTCTAGTAATACATATTTTGATGTTTCCAATAACCCTTCCATGTGGGAGAAACTTGTGAGTATATTTCCAGTGAAGAGAGTATTCTATGTCTTTCTTTCATTTTATTTTTAACAAATATATTAGTAAAACCCAGGCATAATTTTATTTTTTTAATCCAAATAGTGCTAATATAAATTATGAGCAGATTGCAAATTGGTTATCTAACTCAGTACAGAATATGTTGAAATGATCTGAAAATAGAGTAAAAAACAGCAGCTCATCCTTTAAAAAAAAAATAACTACAGATGACCATTGAACAATACAGGTTTGAAGTGCAAGGGTCCACTTACAAAAGGATTTTTTCAATAAATATATTGGAAAATTTGTTTGGAGATTTGTGACAATTTAGAAAAACAGATAAACCACATAGCCTTAGAAATATCAAAAAAATTAAGAAACAGTTAAGTATGTCATTAACGTATAAAATATATGTAGACACCATTCTATCTAACTATTTATGTTATTGGTAAGACTTCAGTCAACAGCAGGCCATTAGTAGTTAAGTTTTAGAGGAGTCAAAAGTTATACACAAACTTTTGACTGCACCCCAACTACTGTTTTTTCAAGTATCGACTACATGGCCAGGTGCAGCAGCTCACACCTACAATCCCAACACTTTGGGAGGCCGAGGCAGGCAGATCATTTGAGGTCAGGAGTTCGAGACCAGCCTGGCCAACATGCTGAAAGCCTGTCTCTATTAAAAATACAAAAATTAGCCAGGTATGGTGGTGGGCGCCTGCAGTCCCAGTTACTCAGGAGGCTGAGGCAGAAGAACTGCTTGAACCCAGGAGGCGGAGGTTGCAGTGAGCCAAGATTGCACCACTGCACTCTAGCCTGGGCAACAGAGTGAGACTCCATCTCAAAAAATAAATAAATAAAAGTATCAACTCTGTATCTATTTTTAAAACCACAGAAAATAAATTAAAAAAAACCATTTAGGTAAATATTAGTTATTTTTGAATCCCAATTTGCTATATTCATGCTTAACCATAAAATTCCTTTTTATAGCAAGGCTCCACTATGTCAATAATGGAAGCAAAGCACTGATGACAGTTATGACAGAAATGCAAGATATAAAACAGTAACATAGGGACCAAGGGATCAAATTGAAGAACACCTTTCAAATACCTTTTTTTTCTGTTTTTTACTGGGAGGTAAGCTGAAGTCTGTGAATTTTGCATCATACTTTCGTGGATAAGAATGTTTAACTAAAAAAAAAAAAAGA